GAGACCTAAGTCCTGATAACATCTTAGTTTTTGAAAATGCCCAGAAGTTCAAAATTTGTGATTTCGGAATGGCACAGTTGCTGTCAAATTCGAATTCTTATGTTGGAAAACCATATTTCAAAGCACCAGAGATAGACTCAGTTTCAGATTTCAGCTATAACAGTTAAGTTGACATTTGGTCCCTTGGAGTAATACTTTACTACCTGTGCACTAAGAAATATCTATACTTAGACAAGACATTAGCCAAGATAAAGTAGTAAGATTAGGCTCAGGTTATTATTCTTGAAGGTGAATAGAAGTTATTCGAGCAGCTCCTTAACAAAATGCTTCAGCTTAATCCAGCTCTAAGAATAGATGCAAATTAGGTTCTTTTTGAACTTTGCATTATTAGTAACGAACCTCTGGACAAGCATTTATAAATAGAGGAAGAAAAGCAATCTCATCACAAGACTACTAGTAATGATGATGGTAGAAATGCTTTTGCTTTGACGATTAGGTCAACCAATGCTCTTGTCAATTAAATTATTTCAAAGCTAGGGGATTTTAACTATGGTGCCATAGATAAGATTCACCCTAATCCAAACTGAATCTTTATGCCTCTTATTAAATATGATAATGGTGGGATATATCAAGGTGAGATTGATGCTTTATCTAAATAAAGAGACGGAAGAGGCAGATTTGTTAGCAATGATGGAAAAATTTATGATGGACTTTGGGAGAATAATTAAAGAAATGGATATGGAAGATAAATATATGTTAGTGGAAATTACTATATAGGTGAGTACAAACATAGTAAAATGAATGGATTTGGGAAATTTCATTATTAGACTGGGAAAGTTTATTAAGGGCAATGGGTAAATAATAATAAAGAAGGATTAGGATTGTAGAAATAGATTAATGGAGATTAATACTACGGTTAATGGGTGAATGACGAGAGAATAGGTGTAGGAGTATGATTAAAGAACGGGGATATTTATCTTGGATAGTTCATAAATAACTTGAAGCATAGAATTCAGATGTAT